ATGACTTGGCAGATGTATAGTGTTAGTGAAACTGTCTGAAATCCTACAACAAAATAGTAATAAACTATCTTAACAGTACTATACAATTTTGTGCAATATTCTACAGATGGAAATTTTCAAGCTAGTCCACATTCCTGGACATGACAATGACCCAATGGACTTCAACTATCGCAGACTTCAAGACCTCAACAAGCGAGATGTCTACCTTCTGTCAGACAATGGAGCTGCTTCTATATCCTGTGCACTGAGCCTGATAGTGTTCTTTGTGTGTGTGTGGTGTGTGTGTTGTGTGTGGTGTGCATCAAGTAGCAAAAGCCCCATATTCTGTAGGCATTCAAAGGTTCATTACTATTTCAGTGTGTTGTGAACTATAAATTTTCAATCCGTTTGTTTGATTTCAGAATGGTTTATTACCTGAATAGAAATAGTTTCCCAACTTTCGATTAAACTTTCATCACGTTCCTTTGTCTTTATTTTATGGATTAGATGTTTAACAATCAGTAAACAGTTATGAATACTAGCTTTTAAAAACAAATTTTTAATTAAAAATAAATTGTTAGCTAGCTATAAAAATTGGAGGTGAAAGGATATGTTCAAATTCAAACCATTGTGCCTTTAAAATAAACCTACCTGTCTCTTCTGCTGATTCAATACTAAAAATGTAGGGTTCTGTCTGTTAGATCCACGAATACTAGACTATTGAACATATGTTTTAGCAGTTCCATTTAACCAATGTTAAATAATGTTTATTTTCGGGCCAAAAACGTCATTTGTTGATGTTTATGATCCATACCAGGTATTTTTTTAGTAATCGTGTAGACTAGTATTTGTGGTTAGATCCATGAATTATCTAGACAAACACAGCTGTTGGTATTTTAACTACTAGTCCCCTGTCAAATGTACACATACAGGCTCCCGTGTGCTCCTTGAGGCAGGTGCGGAAGTAGTTTAATCTCTTCGTTTGACCTTGGAGAAATACAATTTCGATGGTGGCACTCTTGGAAATGGTGCGTTTGAACACTGTGGGTAAAAAACAAAATTGCCGCCGTCGCAAACTTGTTTTCTTACTTATATTAGTAACCGTTAGAGTTATGAAAGAATTGTTGATACCAAAATGTAGCTATTTTAAATCTGCACAAAAAAGATTATTACAGTTTTTAGGTAGGATCAACCATTCTTTCATAAAACATAATTTTATATTTTTCATAAATAAAATTAATCAGGGTGGATGTAATGTCCCAGGAGAGTTGAATATTTCAAAAAGTAATAAAGGGTGTTTCAGTAAAGCGTAGCGGGCTATGCAGATTCAGATTCTATGTGCAAAAATAAGTCGAAAATGTTGTATAACATTTTTTCAATTTCGGCTTAGTTTATCCGTAATCCGCCATTTTGTATTTTTTGAAAATAATTCATAACTCAAAAGCCCTTGGAGATATTTTGATGAAACTTGGTATAAACTTTAAGTGTACAACTGTAAACATTCTCCAAAAAAAATCTTTGATCAGGCACATCGAATTTTAAAATGGCGGCCATAAAAATTTTTTAAGTCAAATTCCATGAAAACCAGCAATTAAAGCAAAACTTAGAAACACAATATGTAAAGTCCTTTTTATTAAAAATCGAACGACACTTAATTTGCGAAAATCGGATGATAAATAAAAAAGTTATGCAACTTTTACAAGGTTTTTGTCACTAGTTTCTATGTAATTTAACTTTGTGATTTTAATATGACTGCCATTTTGATAAATACTATTAATAATAAAAGTTACATAACTTTTTTATTTATAATCCGATTTTCGTAAATAAAGTGTCATTCGATTTGTAATATAAAGGACTTTAAATAATGTGTTGCAAAATTTTGTTTTTATTGCTGGTTTTCATGGAATTTGACTTTAAACATTTAAAATGGCGGCCATTTTGTTTTTTACCCACAGCGTTCAAACGCACCATTTCCAAGAGTGCCACCATCGAAATTGTATTTCTCAAAGGTCAAACGAAGAGATTAAGACTACTCCCACACCTGCCTCATCAAGGAGCACACGGGTGCACATTTGACAGTGGACTATACAGTAACTAAAAAGACAATATTTCAACATTATATTGCTCTTCACATGTTTTTTTTATATTTTGAAAACCAACCAAAGATAGGTATAGTGTAAGGATCAAATTTTGTAACACAAGATTAGTTAACTATCATTCCAGATTAATTGTGCTCTACTTAACTCAAGCACAGACGTCAGTTACCGTTTTTATAGTTTAGACTTTCAGGCTTTTAGGATTTGGACTTTCATTGTGATCTACATTTTATAATTTTAGTTTAAGACGATTTATTTAACGTTTTTTTGTTCGTGTAAATAGTTATTGATACAAAGGCCAAATGTACAAAATCTTTTTATAAATTAACTACAGTAATAGTCATTTGAATGAGTCATTATGATATAAGTCAAAGTGATACTAAAATATAAATTGTCTAGTCAATAGAACAAGCAGCACGATAGCTGCTCTAGTCTAATATTCCTGTATTTATAAAATTGAATAGTTTTTAATTAATAAATATTTCAAAGACTTGCTTACAATTAAGTTTTTACCCTGTACAAACTGAAAATATATTTAGGCTAATGAATTTTGGTTTCTTTTTAGAGCGGTTTCTACCTTGAAAGGTAATAATACAAAATTAAAAGGCTCAATTAAAAAAACGATTTATTGAACATAACATAGGAAAATTAAGCTGAAAATTTACCTTACCGGTAGTTAGAAGACTTAAAACTGAAATCCTCGAATAACTATAACGTAACAAGGGTTAACATACAAATATTACAAAATTACTTGCAACAATTTGTCTTTGTTTATGTGCATCAATCTTGAGACAGTGTGCTTCATTTTGTAAGATTAAGAAAAGTTAACAAAATTAAACCAAATTATTTTTCACCACACTATGATCACTATGATGTGTTTAGCTTTTTTACATAGGCTACTTTTAATTGGTGGCTGAAAGTTATACGTTTTGCTGGCCATGCCAGCTGTCATCTGGCCACGCCAGCTGTCATCGTATAATTTTTGGGACCGGGCAGGTTTTTACATCCCTATAGGGCAGCAAAATTAACTGTTCGCTTAATTACTTAAAACAATAATGTATATTAAATATACAAGCTGTATTCAGCACTGCAATAGACTTTTTTTGTCACCATTCAATTCAATTCAATTCAAATATCTTTATTCATTTTTATGTACATTGTACAATAAATAGTGTCAAAATAATTACAATAAATAGTGTTAAAATAATTCAACAGGATAAAAACAGCCTAGCAACTGTTTATTATTATTTTTGCTCAAATTATTTCTTAACTACTATTTAATACAACAGTAAAATAAATGTATACTTTGACATATTATCGTTGGTAGTTTTTTATAAATTAAGTATAAAATAATAATTTTTTAAAGTCAAACTATGATCATATTATTTAGTTGTCTTAGAAGTTCATACATCTAAATCTACTACAGATCATTGGTACAACAATAAATAATGTTGAATATGAAACAGCTGGTAGTACGGCACACAGATCATCTCACTTCATTCTACACTCACCCTTTATTCTCATTCACCCTAAAATAAGCACCCAAGTACATAATATGGATTGCTGTCTTAAAAAATTAAATTTTTGAAAAACTCCCAGGTTTTTGATTGTTCACAAGTGGGTTTGTACTGTCCTTCGATCTTAGGTTTGTATAAATGTTCTTGGCTAAAGGAATAGTTTACCCAAAGCCTCGTTCTCATGGCGCGTGTTAGGGCAAAACCCAGATCTCCTAGATCAGTCAACGGATCAGAGAATTTGCGAACGTGACTGTTCTCACGGTGGAGGTGGCTTGTATATTTCAAAAGCTACCGACGAGCTCAAACAGAAAGGCCAAGCCATAATAAATAAACAATACTTTACCTCAACTTCAGTTCCTTTAGTACCTCTGAGTGTTTATACTATATGCAAGAAGAACCACTTTTTTGTATGAACACTATTTGGGCTTGTACACTATAAATGTTGCACCTCCAGTACTAGTTTTCTTCACCTTCTAAGAAAGTTTCCTTTAGGTCACCATTAGGATTTCTCTTTTCTTATTTAAACATTTTAGACAAGATTCAATGCTGAAACACGGTTGGATGCATTTTCATGCATCGTACACTTTGTTTCTGTCTTTATGGTCTTTGTGTAGTGGATTCCAAATTACAGGTTCCAGTTCATATAACTCCAAAAACTCTATCTTAGCTTCATTACTTTCACTCAGTTTTTATTCCCGTACACTTCAACCAAACAATTTTATCAAATGCATTCCTAGGGCTCGGTTCAAAAACTGAACAGGTAAGAACAGTGCACCGAGCCAGCCCGGAACTCAGCAAACCACAGGTCTTTGATGTTTCATGAGTTTACAGACTGCGGGTGCGAGAACGTTTCTGCCCTTAATGGACCACCTCCACTGACAAGCTGTTCTCACAACCCATATCAATATGGGCCACTACTCAGGTCACAAGGAGTCTTTACAAACCACGTATCAAGAAAACGAGGCTAAGTCAATAACAAAGCTAAAAAGAGCACCTAACAGAATCATACAGTCATCTTGCTTTCATTTATAGCTTAAAATAAGCTTAGGTGGCAATGTCTCAAAGTAATGCAATTGATAGTAATAGGGATAAACTAGTAATGGGGATGGACATAAACCCGGACATAAACCACTTTTGTTTGATTCTACAAGCCAAACTGTTAAATTTATATTTGGTTTCTAAGCAGAGGGGAGTGTAACCATTGACAAAGGAGTACCGTAAGTGCTTAGTCTGTGGCGTCGCTAAAAATATTCATTGACTGAATGAATACAACCAAGGAAAGTACAAGAAGTCGAGAAATAAATATTCAACATTTATTTTACAATAAATACATACAAAAGCACGATTTATAAAATTAACTTACATCTAATATTCTAAAAATTTTAACAATTAAGATAGAGGTTTCAAAGATAAGTATTATATACACATTTCAATAAATTTTAATAAACTTGTGAACATTTTCTCTACAACTACAGCTCACTATTTACAAATATTTCTTTATCAGTCGTTGTTTTAAATAATTGTTAGTTCTCTATTCTCATCTGGACAAGCGGTAGAGTGCGACCTTATTAAGATTTGCATCAGCTTTACTTTGATTCAATAACCTCAAAGTATGGCCAAGGCATTCCTTGAATGTGAATTTCTTTCCAATTTATACACCAGCGGTATTTTCTACCACCAAAGAAAAACTTGTTAATTTTGCAGAAAAATAGCTTCAAAACGTTTACACTCAGGGTATTTTAAACACAATATGAATATCTTAAGACTATGATCACTAACGTAACATTTAAGGTAATATATACATTAAAAACAGCGTTTATAAAATTAGAGAAAAAGCTTATAACAGTCAACACAAAATGTACTATAGAATCTTGCTTTGGCATCAACTATAAATCAAACTACTGTTATAATCAAAGTGTTTGTTAATGAATAAATTAATCATCATACAGTAGAATTGTTAAACTAATATGTCACATAACATCATTGAACATTCAGAGTTACTTGTGATGTTCTTTATATCATAAAAATCTTCAAATATCAAAATATATTGCTACTAATTATGAGTAAGCTTATAAAGAAAATATTAACAATAATAATCTGTAATTCTAAATTTATATAAAGAATTAGAACTTTATTTGTAAAAGTTAATATAAAATTTGATCTTGCTTGCACCCACTGGTATAAACGTTAACCATAATGATAGCAAATACAGCAAAAACAAAAAAAAAACCAAAATATATAGTTTTTTGGTAAGTTTTCTTGTAGGCTATGTACAATATATTATCCAATCGGTAAAATATTTTGAAGCAAAAAAAAGGTGGTAACAAATCTGTTTTTACAAAATATATTTAAGTATTATACTTATTGAATGGGTGCATAATTTTAAAGATCCAGGGGACTTTGTAAGCAAAATTAATGAATTGAGCAAACAATTTTTTGTTTGTTTTTAAAATTTCGAAATTACTATTTTTAACACTGAAAAAAATTCTTATATGGCTTACATATTCTCAAACCTTATAAATAAAATTTATAGTTTATTCCAATTTGTAGAATATAAAATTTATTAAAAAAAATACTGTTTCCGCTCTTAGCTTTTTTTATGAATGACCTATAATTTTTAACCCTTTGCTCTTGTCTCTGCGGCTTGCATTACAAGTTTCAGCTCAGCAGCAATCATAGCAGCTTCTTCCCACTAGTTTGGAATTCAATTTCAAAGCTGCACACTAGATATTACCACTCAGACATGACACACATTATAACAAACAAAGTTTTGTTTGTTGTTTGTTGACAAAAAATGTAATTTTTGTTAACGTTGCTAACCTTCAAAGTGTAAGCAAGTTTTAATACTAGTCATCCAAGTGGCAGTGACAACTAAGGTGAACTACCACAGTTTATGCACAAAAGTCATGAAACTGACCACTTAACTGTTTGAGACATCATAAACAGTATTGCCAATCGCAAAGGGTTAGAGTCACAATGTTTGAAATTGAAGACTTAAGACTAAAGTTTCTAGTAGCGAGCCTTGTGTGGAGATCGCGCGTGCTGGTGCCCCCTCCACTCTCCCTGGTGGTGGTGATGGTGGTGGTGTCGCTTCTTCTCTGTCGTCTCTCTGCGCTGCTGCGGGTAAACGTCACTCACTACCAACTCACTGCCATCCCTCACCCCCTCGCGGTCCAGTGTCTCCTTGCGCCGTAGGGGAGGGTGGTTGGCCACCTTACTGCTCGCTGATTGGTGGAGATTCTCCCACGCTTGGCGGTAGTAGCGATTCAACCCTCCGCGGGACTCAGAGCTCGACGAGTCGAAACTTGCGACAGTGTTGCAGTCAGGTGATGCTCGGTGGCGGTAGTGTTTGGCACTTCGATTCCTGCAAATTGAAATAGTCAAGTTAAATATTTGTAGTAATTTGTTTTATAATATAAATGGTTATAATGTTATTAATGAATTTAGGAGCAGAAACAGAAAAAAAAATTCATGACAATTTATAGATTCTCCAAATATTTTTAAGACTGAAACTTTACGATAAATCCAATGTTCTACATTGTTAGTTTGGATTGTATTTTTTGTGTCAAAAAGTTACTTATCATCTATGGACATTTATGTGCCAATATCCTGTATAAGAAAATGTTGTAATTCGATAAATAATTTTTTTTAGCTGCATGAATACCTGAATCCCCATTTACTGAAAGAAAATAGATAATTTTAGCCAATGAATTACACAATGAAAATACAATATAAGATGAAGGAGCTACAGTCATGCACAATCTACCAATGAGCCATCAACTGGAATGAAATTAGTAAATAGCATACTGTTACTAGCAAATATCATAAAAAATACAAACTTTGTAAAATTTGAGGATAACAATTAGTTATTGTTTTTTAATATTTTTTATTGAATATTTAGAAGATTGGTTTTGCACTGTAAACATCAGTTTCAGAACGCCCATATTTACATTTTGATAGGGTTTTTTGTATTTGACATTAAGATATTGAATTAGTGGAATTTTATGCGCTAATATTGTTTTGGTATTTTATTTTTATTTCTTCACTACAAGTGTTCAATTTAAAGTAAACAGTTAATATGTGTGCATTTTTTATACATAATGCATTGCAGAATTTAAAAATAGGTATTATGCATGCAAAAGTGAGGTATTTAGAATACAGTACCAAGTAAAAACTGTTGAGAAATTTTTACAGCATTCAGTATAAGGTATAAGGTTACCAATAATGTGAAAAGTGATGTGCAATCTAACTACAAGGAATATTAAGAAAGTTTTAAGAAGATAACAAGTTAAAAACACTTTGAATAAAGCACCAAAACCATGCACAGTTACAATGAAAAGAACAATTAAATGCATATCAACACTTGCTCATTCAAGATTGAAGACTATAAGATGTGGTATCATTATTTTCAAATATAAGAAGTATATTTTGACCCATTTGGGAGCCTTTATTTCCTTGTATACACATATTTATTTTATTCAATTTTCTTTAGGTCGCAATGTTGTTATTGAAATATGTTAACTGGTTAATATGCTAGGACAAATTCAAAAGGTTAAGATAGATGTATACTTAGATCTTAAAATATATTGGACTCTTCAAAATTTACTTACAGTATGTACTGTTATACAGTTTATTTTTGTCACTAGGACGTATCCAAATCTTTTAGCACTTTGGTTCTCTGTCCTTGTCTATTGTTCCTAATAAATAACCCTGGATTTGCTAATCTCAGCCAGTAAACACAAATGAGAGCCTAAACCAGACACACTGATGCACCGTAGGAATTACAATTAGGTAACGAATTAGAGGTAAATCTAACAGTCCCGTTTCCAATACACTAAGAGCCCTTTTACACTTACAATAACAAACTTGATTAAATTATACATCCAAACAACAAATTGCAAAATCATGAAAGCTTTATACAGTCTCAACCTCAACATTTGCGAGTCTACGAGTGTGCATCCATTTGTACAGTGGGTCAACTCAGTGAAACTGTACCTTGTACTTTGTACTAAGTTCACGACATTTAAGTCGGGTGGATCACACTGGATCAGATCGGGTTAGAGAAATATCCTGCCCGACTTCGATATGCTCGGGAGAACTCCCGTCTCCCAACTTGCTGGTCAGGGAAGGGCAAAGCGAGCAGAGTGTACCAACGCGAGGGCATGGCTCGGGCAGGGGGAAGCTTGTGTTTTGCATCCCTCCCACTGCAACCAACCACACACACCCACAACCAATCAGCGTTAGTCAGGTTAGGTTAGGTTAACATAGAAGCGGAAAAGACTTGCGATATTAGTGTGAAACTTTATAGGTTATGATATTGGTTTAAAAGTCTGTATATGGACTAAGGAAGGTTACAATTACCAACAAAACTGTTCAGTTATTCATTTTGTTCGGGGCTAGGTTAGGTGTTATCATTGAGAAAGTCCTCTACATCATTTTATAGGTTATAATGTTTATTTAAAAATCAGTTTTCTGACCAAAAAAATTTACATTTAAAAACACATCAGTAACCTAGTTTAGTTTAGGTTAGGTTATCTTAGAAGCAGAGAAGTTCTGAGATATTAATGTGAGACTTCATAGGTCTAGATCGGTCATAAGTCTATATTGGTTTAGAAATTAGAGATCTGACCAAGGTTCATGGAATTTACAACTGAAAAAATACAACCAAATACTTTGCTTGGGTTGTGTGAGTTAGCTTATTGAGTGAAAATAAGAGTTTAAGAGAGTAATGGTGAAAGAAATTCTTTTGCTTTAAGGTATTTTGTTTGGCTGAAGCTACAAATGAAAATGATATCCTTAATTACGTAAATTCACCAGCAACAACAACAAACTAGGCTATAAACGTTTGATGAACTGAAGAAACTGTGGATTTATATTACACATTGCATTAGATTACATAAGAATAATTCAATAAAAGTTTTATTTTTTACCAGGATAAACAGTTTATAATCTTTGACCTCATTCTTTCTACTCTATAAAGAAAAGTAAAGTGACATGTGAAATATCAGAAAGCATGCATTGAAGAGAATGAATTATAGAAGATTTGCACAGAGCATGCAAAATGAAGATAAAAACTAATCACCAAAGTAAAGCTGAGAGAGGAAAGAGTGCAATGTGTTGTGTGCAGAGCAGAAAGGTTTCAGATGTATTTGACCAAATTTGTAATTGTTTAGCAATAACTGTTTTTAAATGCAACTGCTTGAGATACCTTCTTTAAATCACTTGTTTTTTATACAGGGCAGGGGGTTCAAAAAGGTGGGGAAATAATTTACGTAGTTATTCCTTGGGTCAAAGAGAAAATCAAGGAATAACATTTTTTTCCAAAATCACTTTGTTAACCAGATATCCGTCATTTTGTATTTACATAAACATTTGTATGTTTGAATTTTTACAACCAATCTTTATGAAACTTGGTATGTAGCCTATGTTAAGGTATAAGAGACCCATGTAAAAAAATCTTGATTCAACTTAAAGTTTCAAAATGGACTTAATTTTAATTTTTCAAACTTATTAAATTGCTAAAAAATGCCAAGTAAAAGTGTTCTTGACATCTTTTCATAAAATCAGCCAACTTTTATTAATTACGATTAAAAAATTACAATGGCCGCCCTTTTGAAATTTTTAGTTGAATCAAGATGAATTTTTTTTCTAGCATGGGTGTCTTCTACCTCAACATACATACCAAGTTTCATCAAGATCGGTTGACAAAATTTAAAGATAGAAATGTTTATGTAAAAAATACATAATGGCAGATATCTGGTTACTGAAGTTATTTTGGAAAAAAATTATTCTTGATTTTCTCTTTATTTTGACCCAAGGAATCACTATGTAAATTATGTCCCCATCTTTTTTGAACACTCTGTATAGATATTATTTTTGTACCGTGTGTATTTATTATATTCAGACTGTAGTAACATGAAATAAATTTGTTGTGGCTTTGTAAGGCGTACTTCCAAATAGTTAAAAATTGTATTATCAAAAATTATTACACAGTTTATAACTTACAAAGAATCCCTGGCGGGAGTACAGATCAGGCACCTGCCCCTTACACTCCAAAATGGATGGATACAGTAAAAAAATTTTAGAATAAAATTAATATGAATGATTTGATTAATTGTTGACACAATTAAATGTAGGGACTAACCTTACAGTTATAAAGGTTTTCGTCCTTTTTGTAAGAATATTGGTAACTGTTGAGCGTTGTATCAAGCATAACTGTTGAACTAGCTCTTTGTTACAGTACAATTTCTATGCTTTCCCCATCTTTCCCCCATCTTTTAATTCACTTTTTATTTACTTAACATTTTCATACAATCTAATAGAGTTTATGGATGATGATATTTTAATATGATATATGACCTAAACATAACAATGTACCTTTTAAAAACGTTATAATTAAATTTGTATGACTAAATATTAACTTTATGCTTGTAAATTGGAACAAATTGTATAAAATTGTCTGTTTTTTTGATTGTGATAAAAATTAAATTAATATTCATTACCTCCTGATTAGAATTACAACTGTGGTGACCACTGCTGCTAGGAACACAAACGCTCCGAATACTCCAAGAGCGATGATGGCACCTGCAAACATTACAAAAATTAACTACCGGTAACAAAAAATAAATCTTAAAGAACTCCTGGAAGCATTTTCTGAATCCCAAACGAATGCTTGGCTAGCGGGATGTAGAGTTGATATGGCGCTTAAATGGTAATCGATTTGGAAACAAAGTTTGATCCTGAGAAATCTTAAAAGATTTTGAAACTAGACCCATACCTGATCATTGGATTTATAATGAATGGCACCGGCTACAGAACAAGCTAGCTAAGTAACGAACAAAGCTTTCCACTTAAATCTTCGTCTTAAAAATCTGTACCTTACGCAAAGATAAATCAAATCTATTCTATGACATAAAAGCATCACTAGTAAATTTTCCTGCAAAGTATTTTATCCACGTGCTGTGAAAACAAAAAATAAGGCATTATTGATTAGTTACAATACTAAAAAAAGGGGCTGTAGTCTATAAATTCAACATTTTAAAACTTCTGTATAGATCTAAAACTCTCAAAATTGTGTATTTTTGTGTTTTGTTTGGTGTGTTTTGTACACTAATAGTTTTTACGTTACTAAAGGGAACGGTCCAAACCCTGGTCTTGTTACTATCTAACGTCAGATAGCACCTTTTTGTTAGATAGCAACATTAATTCATACCCCTATGACAAATGGCACCTGAGTCTGAAAAAAACATCTTGCTTTGTTACTTAAAACTCAAAAGTATACTTCCTGGCCTCGGACCCTCTGTTTGCATGTGATACGTGCAATGCGCCAAGAGATAACTACACCCCTCTCCACCTACATTGTGTAGCAGTTTTTATTTTCCTTGCACCCCCAACAATCCTAAAACCTCTTGCGCCCCTGGGTCCGTGCCCACTGGACTTATTTATAATAGGGGCCCTGTCTGAGCTCATAGTTCATAATAACTTACAAAATACTGACACAATAAAGACAGTGGGGAGTTCACAACTTTTTTGGGTTTTAATTTAGATTGTTAGTAGGTAATATTTTAAACACTTGTTTAGTGAATTAAGGACTAAATTGCTTAGTTTTAGCTTTGAATGTAATAAGCAGGATTTTTGACTGGCAAACATTTGGACTTTAACAAACTTAATGGAGGATAAAACACATCAACAGTATCAACAGTAACCAAAGAGACACATACCAAGGTTCAACTTAGCTCCGAGAGTCTCCCGCCTGTCGTCTGTTGAATGAGTTGGCAGATCGGCTCCGTTGTGAAGCAGATTGTTGTGAACATGGACGGAGTCTGGGATCTCGTTGTCCTGGGGATGAGCAGAAGCCACAACAATCTGAGGCACTCGTCCGGACTCGCTCTGCTTGCTGTCCTCCGCCTCATTGTCCTCATCAGTTGGAGTGGTGGGAGGTGTGGTAGGGCGAGGGGAGAACGGCCGGGGACGTTCACGTGTGGGTGGTAGGCGAGTCGTCGTCTGAGGCTTGGGCGCTGTCACTAGTGGCACGACAGGTGTCTGCTTCACTTCTAAAAAAAGTTTTAGTGTTAATATGCCACGAAGTTTTTCCTTTCGTTGTGGTCTTGTTAGTGTCTTAAAGGATTTTTTTAGAATACTGTAATAGATACAGGAAACTTTATATAATTTTACTACAAACGCCACTAACGCCAGGGAAAAGTGCTGCATTATGAAGAATGGTACTCTAATCTTTTTGAACATAGGAATTGTCTTAGTTAAGTCAAAATTAGCCATCAAAACACAATTTAAATAATAAACGCTGTAAGTCATTCTACTGTTGTAATTTAGAATACATTTTAAGTCTTTCTTTATATGCATGATCAAAAATATGTATACACACATTTTTTTATAGACCTAGCAACAAAACATTAAATGGCTACCCAAGAAAAACTTAGGCACCCACTACTGTCCGCGAGAGTTAAGAAGTCCTCTGAGTCCTGGCCTATTCTAAAAATGCAGGCGCTTGCTACTTGAGATCTAGGCGGGTCGAGCGGGTTCCACGCGGCAGTCAGGGCTCACATCCACTGCGTTAAAACCAAAAGAACACCTGCAGATACCGCGCGGCAACATACAAACATTGCTGCGTTCGCTTTGGCTCAGAGGACTTCTTAACTCTCGCCTACAGTAGTCATGCTTTCAGTAATTACTAAATGTTAGTAAATGATAAGGATTAGCATTAGGTTGGTTAATGTAAGATAAGAGTTATGAATTTTTGGTTAGTAAGTTAGTAAGTTCATGAATTATTAAAATTACTGCCCAATTGATGGCAACTGAGTGAAATAGTTTAAATGATTAAATCTAAGAGGAGTTCCAAAAACTAAAAACCACTCTTTCTGAAGCTTTTTCAATATATATTAAATCGTGATTTTAAACAACGCAAACGGTCTACTTCCTGAAACTGATAAACTTTCATACAGTACTTAAGATAGACTATTTATTCAATTTTATAGGTTTTCAAAATTAACCACAAAGGATGGAGAGAGATCATATAGGATCAGAAAACGCTGAATAACAGGGATGAAATTGAAGAACGGTTGACAGCAGCAGAGAAGAAGAAGAATTATAAATCTTGAACAGTGCTTTCAGTTTACCTTTGCATTCGGGAGCAGGTTTGTCATATTGGCCCGAAGGCAGACAAATAATTTGTTTAGCCCCAACTAGCCGATACTTGCGAGAAATGCAGGTGTATTCAACAACTGTCCCAACAACTGTTACATTGCTGTCTATGAAAACTTCCCCGTTCTCTATTTCAGGTGGATCACTGCATTTGATTGCTGTAAATCGATTACATTGATTCATTTAAGGGGTTTTAAAATCCAAAAGTTACAGCATGTACTTTGTATAGCTCCATACTCCTTTATAAGTTATGCTAACAAAGAAAGGAAGTATTCATAACACTTTATCGTATGGTATTTTTATGTTTACATAATTTGTATTGAAGTTAAAAGTTTAATAGATCAATGAAAGAAAATACTAAAACAAAGTTAATATTGCTAGTTGACAATATTCAGCCAAGTTCAGATTTGGTGCATAGTTCGGAAACTGAGAAGGGCGGAAATATTATATTGTCTATAATTCATTGTGCTAGGAATCGAGAAAATAGTGTCATTTGAAAGAAGTGTGCCTTGTAGCCACTACTTACCATTTTATAACAACTATGATATTTTTGAGCTAACTCTCAATACACTTTTTACTTTAAGCTATGATTAACCTATACAAAGTTATAAAAAAAACATATTGTTATAATTTATATTTCAGGAAGGATAAAAAATTTAATGTTATTTAAAGTTTAAGTTAAAGCTACATTGATAATTCACATTATGATCTCACACTGTTGATTTTTTTAACTCCAATAAACTACCTAGTAGTTGTTGACTATTGAGTCAATAAACATGTCTCTTTATTCTTTTTTGTGTGTTCTACGTGAATGAATGGTAAGGAAAAGCTTTCTTGGAACAATGATAAGGGGCAGACACCTTCCTCAGGAGGTGCTGCAGTTCATCAAGCAACTCAGGGTTGACGGGCTCTGGTGTACCAAATGAGGAGCACAAAAAACCCATCTGTGGCTGACATACATCGATTCAATCAATAAACCAATCAAGTGAATGGAACTGTTTATGTTGTTTGTAAGGGAACAATCTAAACCCTTAAACCCTGGTATGATACCATCCTATGTCAACCTTTGTTAAGAAGCATCATTAATTAATTGGTAGTCCAATGACAATAATGTCATCTAGATCTAGATCCAAGATCCATCGTGCTCGGGATTGAACCAGCGACATACAGATTTGAAGGTGAGCACTATAACTACATGGCTACCCAGATAATTTGTTACAAATGATCAAAATCCTCACTATCGATTTCCAACTCCATTGCTGCAGACATTCACACACCTTTTAAACCATTTTTTAGTTAATGTAGTTTTATTTTAGATGTGTTAAGACTTTTCTCCTAAAACAAAACCTAAGTTAATGTATCAAGTTCTCATTCAAATACCAATTGGTTATGCCCATAACTATGTTATCAAATTGTGGCTAGCCAGCAAGATACTTACGTTGACACCTGGGAGGTGGGCCGTCCCATCTCTCGTCTAAGTCACACGTCAGCTGAGCACGGCCCAGCAGCTTGTACCCTTCCTCACAGCTGTATAGCACCTGACTCATGTAGCCTACACTGTCATTCAACAGCTGGTAGTCTCCATTGGCTATGTCTGCAGGGTAGCCGCATTGTACTCCTACAAGATTTTTAATTTAGTAAGTACCGTATATTATATCACTGAGTGAAAATTTAAAAACGTACGTTTTCATGTCCCTGGCCTTTTACTTCGTAGATACTGGATTTGTAGTTTATTATTATGTGTTTTAATATTTTTTGGGACGGGGGCAACATGTTACACACATTTATTTGGTTTTAAATAGATTCTAGGTATTTTTTTTGTATTTTTAAAGTCTCGAAATTCACGACCATGACGTGTCCCCAGGGTACATTTTCCAACTTTCACGCTGTTTTTAGACTAATTATTCATGCCGAAATATATAAAGCCATATTTTTATGTCATCAATGGTTATTAAACTTACAAAAAAGGAGCATATTATAATTTTATTGTCATTGCAAACTGACTACCATGAAAAAATAAGTCTGTCCCTCGATTTGGCGTCACGACCATTTGGGAAAAATTTTCAACTTTGGAGCACGACAGTGGCAAGCCTGGCGTCGATGGAGTCAGTTGGTTTTAGAGAGTTCGGGGTGTACGTCAGGATCGTAGTGCCGGTCGTTTCGAGTTGAAAGGAGGAATTACAAGATTAATAAAGGAAAGATTGTGTTTTTTGTAATTTTGGTGTGTCCATGACCGTACGTAGTCATTCGATGAAGTAGACATGGTGTTAATTTTTGTTTATAAGATATTTCAATTGCTAGATTAACCTAGAAGTTCACTTTGTATCCTCGAACATGAGGTGCAGGGCTACCGCCAGAACAGAGCCAAATAACACGTAATTTCACGACCAAAGTTTCACGACCATCGCGGGTTTTTTCACGACCAATCCAGCCTTATGGATTATAGTGTGTTTGGTCGTGACAATAACTTTAATATAATTGTCATTTGAACAGCTTAGTTCAATTGAAACACTTATTTTTATTATAACTAACAGTATAATTGAAGGATTGTTTAGAAAGATTTAGATTATTTCAGAAATTTCACGACCGTACCGCTTGTCCCTGACCATCACGTTTATGATTTCTATCATAAAAATTTTGAAAATTAAAATATCGTCATATTTCCATGTTTTTTACACAAAAGCAGCACAGCTCTATACAAACATAACGATTTTTCGGGTCTCAGGTAAGTTTTTTTGGAGTTATACAAATTTAAAAAGATTTTATTGGCTTTTTTCAATTTTTTGAGTTTATTTATTTTTTTCTAGAAAGACCAAATGTACCAAAAGCTCAGTGACCTTTTTATTGTATAATGGTCATAAAAGTAAATTAGTTTATAACAAAACATAGTTATAAAAATAATATTAACTATTTTTAATATTCATTTAAACGTCTGTTATGGTCGTGACAGGATTTTGTGTTTCTCCACTAAAGATGCTCTTTTTAAAAAAAAATACCAAAGATATTGCGTTACCATGGACATTTTATGAAACTTCAAATGTTAATGAAATAAAAATAATAATAAAAGTTTTGAAAAAAGGGGAAAAAAATTTGCAAAGTGCTTTTCCTGAAAACGTACGTTTTTAAATTTTCACTCCACTATGTATAAGAGGCAGACGTAACTATATGTGTTCCAACAAAAAAATATCAGCGTGAGATAGTGAAATACCCCAAGAATTCCTTTTAATAAGATCATTGACTTTTGGATACTGAAGTACATCCCATCTATATCGGACCAAGTTTTTTATTAAAAACAATCTTAGTTCTGTAAGCCAGACACAGATTGGGCTAGTGTCTAAAATTCCATTTCCTACCACATTTTTTGTTATTGAGGCAGTTGACGTGACTAAAAAGCTCCTAGCTTATAATAAGTCTTCCTATCAGCTTGAATTGTCTTGAAAGTCTACATATTTGACATAAATCAGTAACTTAGATCAGCGTAATATGTCAGTGCCTCATATAAACTACGTCATTTTAAAACGTTTTTTAGTGAATTTATATTACCGTAAGTCTCATGGTAAGACCTGGACCAGGGACCGATTTACTTAGTTATTTATTTAGTTTGGTCAAAAAAAACTGTTGACCTTCCCTGTAGCAGCAAACCTAAGCACTCGTTAAATCTAATGTTATTTAAATTGGGAATAAATATGTCTTATTTATGGAAATATTTTGGTAAATATGTACTCAGACAAGTTATAATTCGCTTAGTTTGCAGGTTTGCTGCGGCGGGGGTATTTTATTTTAAAACTGGCATAGGATGGAATGTCTAAATCTACCAATAGTCAAAGCTATGACCAGCTGTTAAACACAGTAAGTTATCCTTTTGATTAAAGCTGGATCAAAGTATCCAGCTCATTCAATACAATGAGATAAAGTTCCTGATCCGATTATGGAAAAAATGTAAGTGGAAATTAAGTAGGTATACAACTCCTTTCCCCTCAAACCTATTTGAGGATTAACTCAATAAAACACCTAGTAATTTGCTAACTTGGAGTATTTGTCTAGCAATTTCTTCTCAACTTACGTTTGCAGACTGGAGGGAACTCATTGTAGAAGCCGGTGGGGAGACAAACTCGAGAGCTGGGCCCGACCAGAAGATGCCCCTCGTCACAACTGTACTCGATTGTGGCTCCAACATTGAAGTTCTTGGCGACCATCGTGGAGTTGGGAGGTTGCTCTGGTTTACCACAAGCCTTTGGTTCTGTGGAAAAGATGGGAGATAGTGTTTAAAACATTAACAAACTTTAAACAGATTCCCATAATAAATCAAATTAGAGGGGTGTCTCTTGATTTAATTGGTTTTCAGTACTTAAAACTATACTTTGTAGTTTGTGATAGAATATAGATTAAATTTTGAAACTAAAGCATGTTATAGAAACTCCTCTTTTTGAGTTTTTTGGACACTGGATGACTTTCTTCATCCTGACATCTCCATCAGTTACTAAGCATAATTTATGGTGATAGTCTAGGTTAAGTCTGAATATGTCAACTGTTGATTTTCAGTAATGGTTGGTTAAGTCTCATCTTTAATGACTATTAGCATAAAACATGTTAACTCATGCTTTCAAATATTCAAACTCCATGTACCTCGTATGATTTAAAGTATTGAACCTTTATGGAGTTGTTATTGAACATATGTAATGGAGTCTATTTTAAAGGGAACGGCCCAATCCCTAATCTAGTTATTTTTTAACATCACACTTTGGTAGGTATTTTAATACTTTACTTAGAAATGGCGGCCATAGGAATGTAGGTATTTAAGCCAGGTAAGAATAGAGATTAAAAGATTAAAAGATACTTATTCTTTAAATTGTTTGTAATTCATGTATTGAAAATGTAACTAGCATGGACATGAAAAAGTGCAATCAAGACTGACTTCACGCATTACAATATAATGTACTGTATACTAACGGTGTTGGCAGATGTAGTTGATCTTGACGTTACAGTTGGTGTCGCTCCACAGCCACCCCTTGGCTCCGTCGTACCTCGCACAGTCCTCGTCTCCACCGGGCAGTGACCAGAAGCTGACAGTGACATCGTCTCCACCGAGCCACTTCCAGTTGTTGCGGTCTTGTGGATCTCTCACGGCTCCCATCCAGTACTGGCTGCTGGTGTCACTCCTGCCAAGTACAGGTAAAATAGGGTTTTATAAACAACAAAATTTGTACATTCATGAAATTTCACCTGTGAGTTACTAATAAAATGAGAAATGAAGATCCGACGAGTCCCCAAAATTTTGGGCGTCCCAAGGCCCTTTTTGGGGTCCTTTTTGTTCCGAAGGGTCCTTTGTTCCTGAATAATTTTGTTTTTACGTTTAAACTCGAGTGAGGTGTGTTTTCGATGGTTCTAGTTATTTTAAATCAATTGGGACTAGTTTTAAGTGTATCAAGCCACTCCATACAGGGTGTTTCGAAATATTATTACTTTTTACGATATTTAAACATTTATTCATAAAGTAATAAAATTAGTTACCTCCATGATCTATATAAAAGGGGATTATTGAAAATAATTGTAATTCTTTACTACGTAAGGGAAAAGGATCACAAGGAGTAAGTGAAAATATTAATTATTCCCGTCACAGCAAACCTGCAGACCTAGCGAATTTCCGTTTTACTTACTTGATTTTGAATTAAATCTAAAATAGCATTGCGTTTAACCACCATTGGTTTAACGATTACCTATTTTTGCAGCTACAAGGAGGCTAATAATAGCCTAGTATAAAACAAATAAATTTGACAAGTTTGATCAAGATATATCTATTAACAAACAAACAAAATCATTTTACACTATTCTACATAAGAATAACATGGGAATCTTAAATTTACAATTTTAGTATTTTTATCCGTAGCTAATAACCATACAAAAACATGTTAATATACTAAATTATTTGTTTTTAAGCTATTTAAAATGTTCTAGAGAAAAATTGGGAAACTTTGTGTTTCGAGGGTAAAGTAAATGGGAAAACTCAATTTTTGCCCCATAAACCTCGTTCCCATTGTTCAGGACAAAAATGCTTGTACCGACAATGCTGCTCTGATGTCTTAGTGCTGTCCTGGTCGTCATAACCACAAAAGATAACCGTACTTGTATTGATTTAAAATAATTTTGAGGAATTTATGATACAAGTTGCAAACGTCAGTATGTATGAAAGGTGTTTTTGCACCACATTGTTTGTGCTTTAAGATTGGTGTTGCCTGTTCTGCAATATGCAAGGTTTGTAAAGGGGGAATCCCGCTTGAACACCAACTTGGACAAAATCAGTAAAGATGGACAAGTTGCTAAGAATAATAAAATTGTTTATGAGTCGTCTGAGAATAATTATTGTGATGATGAAATTTTAAACAGAGATACTATGGAAATTGTAGAAAAATAGATTTAGTTTAAGTAAATTTTTAGTTTAAGTCATGTTAATATGTAATGTAAGGTTTTATACAAATACAATTGTTTTAATTTTTAATAAATGTAAAAAAATAACTTAAATAACTACCTAAGAATAATACATATCAATTTGAAATTGGTCTTAATAGATTTGCATAAAAAACACATTGACAGATTATTCACACCACCTTAAAAGTTGAAATTTTTGCATAGTAACCTATGTTATTATGTTATAGTGTAAAACTTAATCCATACCCTTTTACCCACCATATAACCTAACCCCCCCCCCCTTACGGGTGATAACTTATCCCCCTTTAACTTCCCATATAGGAAATAATCTAATACCGAAGGTCTTATGGTAAAACATAGACCCGAAACCAAACATGATAACTCGAGTAATTTTGGTTCAATTTTAACAAAACCGGCATTATTGGTCCTTGGAACAGGGTTTTATGTGATAAAAATTTGTAATCTTTGACCCTCAAAACACAACGTTTCCCAATTTTTCTCCAGAGCATTTTAAAGAGCTTAAAGAAAACAAATAATTTAGTATATTAACGTGTTTTGTAAGTGTATTAGTTATGAATTAAATTCAAAAATTGTAAATTTAAAATTCCATGTTATTCTTAGGGAGAATAGTGTAAAATGATTTTGTTTGTTTGTTTATAGATATGTCTTAATAAAACTTGTCAAATTTATTTGTTTTATACTAGGCTATTAATATTTTACTATAAACACACTTTATTAGCCTCCTTGTAGCAGGAAACCTAAGTATTCATTAAACTCAATGCTATTTTAGATTTAATTGAAAATCGGGCAAATGAAAATTCCCTTAGTCTGCAGGTTTGCTGTGACGGGGGTATTTAATAGTTTCTCTTACTCCTTGTGATCCTTTCCTCTTATATAGTAAAGAATTCAAGTTATTTTCAATAATCCCCTTTTATATAGAGCATGGAGGTAACTAATTTTATTACTTTATGAATAAATATTTAAATAACGTAAAAAGTATTTATATTTTGAAACACCCTGTATGGAGTGGTTTAATACACTTAAAACTAGTCCCAATCGATTTAAAATAACTAAAACCATCGAAAACCACACCTCACTCGACCTTAAACGTAAAAGGAAAAACAAAATTATTCAGAAACAAGGGCCTTTCGGAACAAAAAGGGCCCCAAAAAGGGCCTTAGGACGCCCAAAATTTTGGGGACTCATCGGATCTTCATTTCTCATAGTATTAGTAACTTACGGTTGAAATTTCATGAATGTACAAATTTTGTTGTTTATATGGAGTGTTTTTGTATTATTTTACCTGTACAATTTAAACAATTAATTTATTTGATATTCATGTCAATGGGGAGAATATCCGAGATGATAATGGTTAAACAACACAGAAGTTCTTATAGGTTTTTGATTTTGGTAATTAGTTTTGGTTTAGAGGATAGTGGTTAATTTATTGAAATAGATGAGTTTCATAATATTTTGGCTTGAGTAAAATATTAGTTATGGCTCTAAACGGTTTTTATGTAGAGAGCACACAATCAACTCAAGGACTCGTGAAAAGCCTGCTGCTAATTCTTTTTGAGTCCCTCCTGATTGTATGTAGCTTTCATGTTGGTGTAGCAAATTACTTATCCAATGCCCTGTTACACCACCTATACAGGAGCTCTCCCTTATCCCATAGTAATTATTAGAACTGATTGACAGTATCTCTACCTGTGTCGCCTCCACAGTTCCCAACTGATAAAGCCTTGTAGAGCTGGGTTACTCTCGTCCACCAAAGACCCGCCTCGGCTGCGGCAGAATGCCAATGCCTCCCGTAGGTTCAGGGGCTGGCGGTTGTAGAAGATATAGCACTTGCCATTATAGGTAGCAGTGCTGCCTGGTGGCTGGTCTCTGAACTGCGGACATCTCTCAATGGGAAGCGCCTACAATAGCAAAATGATAGATAAATGATGTGATTGAGAAAAAATAACTGATTAGTCCCTGAAGGTTTTTCTTGATTCAACACTTTTGTTAATGTGAGGTCAAAATCAACTGAATTTCAAATATTTGTTATACATTTTGGGTGTACTAATGATGGCATTAATAAAACAAAATTACAACCACCCAAAAGTTAACTAGCATCAAGAATTTATTTTTATCCTCCCTCAGTATGAAAGCAATGGCATTAGTGGTCAACCTGTACTATTCTTTTTCTTTTTCAAAATAAACTTATCACACACTTTTATAGAAATTTCTATATTTCGGCATTAGCCTTCTTCAGGAACAAACACAATAACAAATAGAAGTGTTTACCACTCTGAATCATATGGTTTTAGCAAAAATCCAAAATACATATAATTTATGAAGAAGTAAAAAAGAAAATGTTTTGATAGAAAGAAAGAAAAAATTTTATATATATATATATATATGTGTATATATATACTATCTCAAATTTAGACCGGAAGGTGTTTTAGATTTAAGTATTAATTGATGAGCTTGCTCAAGCTGTCTTAATTTCAAGTCTGGTGCGTCTTTTGCCAATTTTCTTATTCCTTTTAATGAATAACATTGTTCAAAATTTTGAGAATGCTCTCTCGCATGATTCTTTTTCTTTGTATTTGATAATAATAATTGATAATTGATATTTGATAAACAAACGGGATCAAAAACAAAGTGAGTCTCATTTATCTACATTTCATCCAAATTCCTCCATATAGGAATATATTTCTTTCAAATAATATTTCAAGCTCAATTACTTGAACTTGATCATCTGGACATTTCTTGGTCCTAATGATGAGAATATACTGTCTACTGCTTACAGGAAAAAAAGTCAAATATACATTTTACTCAATCTTGTGATACCCAAAATAGGAAATAACATAACATCTATATTTTAGTTTCCACAAGTTGTATTACCTGGTCAGTGTATACAAAGGCTTCACAAATACTAAGCTGGTTGGTGCCTGTGGTTCCCTCCAGATGAACAGACACAAAGGCACCAGGCATTGGAGGGTTGCATGGTAGGAAGAGTGGCTTGCCTTCCTCTAGGAACCCTGTGAATCTGTTGCAGATAGGGTTGGTTCCCAGGTCTGGTCTGTTGTTCCCCACTCGCACTACTATCGTGGCTGGCTTGTTTTTACCTAGAACAAAACCATAATTGTTTTTTTATTTGGTACCCTGGTCAGAAAAGTACACCTTTTACCAAGGAAAGATTGTTATGTAGTTAATTCCGATGTAATTAGAAGATACTACACTGAGTGAATGCTTTGTTCATGTTCTCTGTGGTTGCAGAAGCAATATACAAAATACAAGTGTTCAAAAAAAGGTGTAGAGACATAGTTTATGTAGTGATTCCTTGAAAAAAAATAAGTTAAGAAGTTGTTATATGTCTGTATCTGTATGATTTTTACAAAAACATTCATAACTCCTTAACGATTTGAACTACAGCATTGAGATTTAGCATTGATCGAGCATTGAAGAGTTATAACCATCGATGGCTTGCTGATTGAGTCATTTTCTATAGAAAAAGTCAAACTCATAAATAAGAGCAGTAAATGGCAAGGAAAGAGAAAAGAGCTGGAAAGACTCAAGAAAACGGCTTATAACGACAGGTTAAAATAATAGGGGTTTGTATTGATCGATAGAATTTAGTTTTGTTCTTTGTTGTAATCTCCCTATTTTTAATAACATTTTTATTTGTAAAGAAGGTTATTTGTTTACTTCGATGCTTTATTAGCAGACATGAGGCCGCATCCTTGTAAACTAGTACATAAATATAAAACTAGAATGTTAAGTAAAGTTAAAGGTTTTCTGTTTTTATTTTAAACCCAAACCGTCTATCACCTTCTTGGGGTTTTATTCAAGCAGAATAATTAAGACCAAGTCCTGCCATCATATCTGCCATCATCTGCCTGCAAGAAAGCAAGTTTTTTTTCAAAGTACTATAATTAAGAGACATAATAAATACAAAACAGTAATAGGGAATAATAATATGTTTATTTGAGGGTCACCTACTTAAGGTTTTTTTTCAACCAAACAGAATTAGGACAGAGTCCATTCTTCCATTCTGCCTGGTGGGGTACGGCCCTTGAGGGAACCATTCCGGCATTCGCCTTAGTGAGGAAAGAAACCGTACAAACTCTCTTCAGAATGGTCGGCCTGTTAGTCAGACCTCCCGAATGTGAAATAGCAGGATGCTACCTCACTCGGTCAGATTAATACTACTACAAAGATACTTAATACTAGTTAATACATAGGTTAAAACATAAGTTACTAAATACTTAGATACATAAAATAAAAAACCTTAATACTAATCTTGAGTTGTGTTTCTTCCTTTCTTCCATATCCTTGAAAGCCTTAATTTTTTCCTTTGTTCTCTGCAGCAATTCAGCTTCAGGCAGAACATTCAGTTGTTGATCTTTTCAGCGCCTTCCTCTTGAAGTTCTCAGATGATCACCTTTCCATAGTATGTGATTCTCCACATATTTTGCGGCCAACAAAAACACTTCGGCATTTGGAAACTCCTCTAAAGAGAGTCCTCTCCATACATTAGTACCTGAAGAACAACACCTTGCAGCTACAACATCAAATCCCTGCATGGTCCCATAAAATCCCATCTTTCCCTGCATGGTCACCATCTTTCTCCGAAGGCGGTATGGTTCCTTTTTATTGTTGTCCTCTGCAAGATTTCAGATTGGAGTAATGTGATGCCAATGGACAAACTCCATCATGTATTTCACAGAACTGCTTTATTTGTTCTTACTGTTCCAAACTCTCTCCAACCACATGAATTTTCCCAAATTCGACTGCAAAATTTAACAGCATCCATTTATTTTCTGGTCGGAGATTTAATTGGAGACTTAATTGTTTCCATAGAAACAAATATTTACTGACTTTTGTGATTGGTTTACTTGTTTGTTAAAGCATAGACAAATAGAATTAAATATAGACCGAATGCAGTACTGCAGTTAGCACAAGTTTTGAATAACTTCTTGAACAGTATTGTACATGTACTTTTATATGTATTTACTGTCTTGTAAGTCAACAATATAAGTTAGTGTAAATATATTATTACAAGTGTCATTAGACATATTTATTTTTGTCTTTTTCAAATAAGTTTTAGCGTCCACCGCTAGGAGTACCGTGTAGTTACGTAACACGTGCTTAAGGCGCAAGGAGTGGACGCCAGATCTTATGCTAACTGCAGCACTGCTGTTGGTCTATATTGAAATTCTATTCGTCTATTGTTAAACTTAACTACACTTGTTCTGTATGCATATTCTATATAATTTTAAACTGTACGGTAGGCCTACCCTCCACATGTGTGTCATACGAATATACGATGGTGGCTATAAAATATTGTAAATGCAAAAAAATTTAGAACTATTATAATTGAGAGTGGATCTAAACATTTATTCTAATGAGTTCACGAACCAGCATGACCGGACTATGGGAATGAAGTTTTATAGGGTATAAATGGAGAAAACTGTATATGGAGAGATTAACTTCTATGTTATTCATAACTCAAACTAAGCTTAACAAGATATCATTGATACCTCAATAAAATTTATAAAATGTTTATCTTGAGATTTTTTGGTAAAATTAACGGTTTAATTGAAATTTGGCATGAAATATTAAAAATAGCCACCATGTTAAAACAGTGTACGAGTTTTGTTCACATTTTTCACAAAGGTAGCGGCTAATAAGGTGGACATTTTTTGCATAATCTCAAATACTGTGGTTCAAACCGCTAAGGAGTTATAAAAGTTTTTGTAAACAAAACACATACAGACACTAAAAAAACTAAGATAGCACATTAAAATGTTTACATAAACTTTGTTGCATATTTTGACTCAAGGAATCACTACTAAACCATGTCCCCACCCTTATTGAACACTCTGTAGCTAACTGTAGTAAAAGAAACTAAGGGACAGTATGAACACCTTAATTCACATTAGGAATAAGGATTTATCTATGTAATATCTTCCATTCATCTTCTCCATAAGCTACTCACCATTGTAGTTGAAGGTGGTTCTGTAAGTAGGAAGTAGTAGCATTTTTCTTGCAATTTCAAGTGCCCTTATTTCATGGCATATGAGGACTCCAATGAATCAACCTTAAGGAACTTTTTTAGTGACAATGCAGTTTCTCTAGATTACTCACCACAACAAGCTTTCCCAAAGTCCAGCCTGACGAGCTGTACCATGTAGGGCTCCAACAGGTTGACATACCACCAAGGTACTCTCTCAGGCCTAGTGAGGGTACAGGTCTCTGCGTTGAAGAAGGAGCTGGTGCTGCCATCTATGGCCTTCTGGGGAACTCCTCCTTGCTCAGAACTGATCTGCATGGGAGCTTTTCCAGCTGCCACGTTCAGAACTGCAACAAAACACAATGTTTGAGGATCTATGCAAAGGAAAGATATTGTACAGTAATTATTTACCTATTTTGCCTGAAGGTCTTGTGATTAACACGATGCGCATTTCGCCGCTCAGTGCGGCATCTTCATAGAGTATCTTCTTAAACACTACTGTTACTATGTACATATTTACAATATATTTTCCAATCACTAATCGGACAAGACCTTCAGGCAAAATAGGTAAATAATTACTGTATAATACAGGTCTTGTCACTGGGTTCAAAGAACATTGAAAGATATTGGTTAATTGAGATGTACATTAAAGAGAAGAAAATCACAATCGATAAGAATTCTCGTAGATTGCAATATAAAGAAGATATTGTGGCTTAGGATGATTATCAGATTAGGTAAGTTGGTGGGTGTGGATTAGGTGGGTTTCTATTGGTATGGTTGTGTAACACATAGGGGTTGGATAAGGGAAATATAAGTTGCCCAAGATCATATCAGTGACTGAAGTAGTAGGCCTAATCGATTTAGATAAATAATATTCACAAAGAAGATCAACATCTAGAGCGAACTACAGATAATAATGCATGAAACATATTTCTTTCTGTTTTTAAGAATTCTTTTCTTTATTAATTTCTTTGTGTTAAAGTATTTAGCACTATAAGGTAAGGGAACTCCTCCTAGCACGATAAAATGCAAAACGGGAGTTCAATAAGTCTGCGCCAGTCACAAAATATGCGACACAATCTGCATTCTTCGTTTTGAACGGCAAATTCTACATTACAAAATTACAGTGCTTTGAGTGGCAGATCGCACGTAAAGGGAGGGAACCATTTTCATTCTAGAAAACCCATACTTAGTCAACACTGGAGGAAGCTGTTCTATCCGCTACGATAGACTTGATATGACATCCGTTTGCGTAAACGTAAAAAGCCTTTTCTAAGACCTCGGTGTTAATGTTACTTTCACTGGGAGTGTCCGCCATTGTACTGTGTTGTGTTGTGTTGTATATGTGTATGGCTTTCTATTGACGAGACCACAAAGGACGTTAACTCACGAGTCTACTCATTCACTCTGTCGATGTTGTCACTTCGTTCAGCGTTCAGAATAGTTTATCTACAGATGGAGTCGTCATGTAGTAGACCCAGCTTTGAGGTCACTCGTTCTCAATCGTATTTCTAGAGGAGGGTTGTTGCTTTAAAAGCCATAGATTGTTAATGGGTTTAAAACATTGATCGAGTCTGTCGAGTAGATGGATTCAATCAATGGAGGGAGATGGTAAGATAACAAATCCAGGCCTACGAATGGATACGAAAAGTGTTATCTTTTATTCTGACAGAGAATTACAGGAAAACAGGATAGTTATTGAAAGATAATAAACTTCGTCTATCAAAAGTGATTACTTAAGATCCTAATAAATTGTCATTAATATGCTACTTGCATGAACTTATGTCTATCAGAAAAAGTACTGCATACAACATTTGCTTCGTTATTAAGTTAAAAGTGGAGATTGTGTATTTTCACATACGTTTTATGTGTAGCTAGTTATTTGTTTTGTTATAATGGGAGTTAAATATTTACATATAATTTTAGTATGTTTGTCTCTGTCAATCCAGCAAGCTGGTCATCGACGTCAATGAGGTAATTAAGGTAGGTGAATCTTGGAAAAGATGTAACTATAAACCAACAATATAACAGACCATCCAAGCCTTGAGTCTTGCCCCCAAAAGTGAAGTGCTTCAGAGCCAAAATGAAGTCTTAAGAAACCCCTCATAGTATGAGTATAAAAGAGCTCTCTAGTATCTCTTCTTAAAAAAGTTCTTCCCTCGGTTAACTGAGACAATCGTTTGCTTCTCCTGCCATAAAGCATTCTCATCGCACGTGAATGTTTGATCATTTCCTGTGTTAGATTTGCAAAGTTGGAGAGTGAAGTGATTTCTCTTCATAAAAACCCTAACGAAGCTGACTTAGATGGCAAATCCAGTAGATAGCCGTGTCAAGAGGAGAGAGAGGCACTTAGTATGCGACGAGCAAAGGATTGCCAACCTCAAAGAATCGGTGCCGTACACGCATGGCAGACTTTCTGCTAAATGGAAACTATAAATGAGTCATGTTGGCATTGCTGATACTACTAAATGAGAGAAAATCTTTAAATTGATAGGAGCTTTCTAATTGACATTCGACACCCACACATAATATTGAGAGGTTCATACCAAATTGCCAATTAAGGCGGGGAAACGCAACTATAGGCGTGTTTTAACCTAAATATCAACAAAGAATGAATGAGATGCCCAGTGTAGTTTTGCTACAAAGGCCAGAACCATTTGATCAAAAGCAAAATGACCAGGGACTGTTGGGCTCAGTTTTTAACCATGAAGCTACACTTATAACTTCTCAGAAATGGATCGTAATAGTATGACTTATCGGATGTTGGCTAAGCTACAATTATGTGATTTCAGACTTCGCATAAAATAAAACGGGGCTTACAGAGCTAACGGGGATTTACAAAATACCAATGTAGGTCTTAAACTTTACAGATATCTTTCAGTTAAATCATAAGTTGAATTCAAATGTCAATGGTCTTCGAAGAATCCATAGGCTTCTTTATCTAAAATCTCTCTTAAATTCGAAATTTTCCTCTACCGTATATCCTATACACTATACAGTATCTTTAGAAAGTAAGATCGGCCAATGCGACATGTGTGTTTTGGCTACGGTTATTATCCTGACATATTCAACACTTTCCCGATTATTTTAAGGGAAAGTGTCATTGATGAGGGCATGAAGGGAGGATACAGGTTCGAAAGTTCCTCCCGGTGGATTAGCGATTGGACCCGCTCCGGCAAGGAAGAGCTGGAATGTTCCCGAATTCTTAATTTAACTAACAACGTTGCGTTACTAATCATTCTAGATTGACTTGCTCACGTTTTTAACCCGGCTATACACACAGGTAATTAATTATTTGATGAAATAATGGCGTTGTTAAAACACCGTTGTGTCAAGATGGAAATATACTATCAATGGGTCTACCGATCATGAATTTCAATCGCAATGATATCTCCAGCGAATTATATTGCCATTACCAGATTAAGCTGTAGGTTATAGAAGGTTTGAACATAAAACATACCCAATTAAATTTACTATCATTTATGAATCAGCCGAAGTCAGTTTGAATATTGTTTTCCTCAGATTTAAAAGAGGGCGTTTTGTAGTTTGAGATTTGTTTCTTGTTACTTAACATTTTTTAAACTATCAACGAAATATAACAATCAATTTTGTAATTTATTTCACCCTGGTGTTATAACAATACCTTAAAGCATAAACCGTAAATCCATCCTAAAATGGCAGAGGTACATAGGCACAATTCATTAGTGTAAATCACGCACAAAGACAGACTGATTATACAATAGGATGGAATACATACAGGGGAGTATATTTGATCAATAGTTTTAAATACCAAGAACTCACGAATGAAATACAACGTCCGATCATATGCACCATACCAAACACTCCCATCCATCATAAAGACGTTGATAAGTAACAAAGAGTTGTCCATCAGAAACATTACCAGATGCCATGGAGCAATATGTTATCAAGGAAGTAACGGGAGGAAGGATGTTGAATAACGACCCCAACAGGAACGTCGATACTATAAAGTGCACTTAGGCTTCATGATAACACCGTTGTCTGCCTTCACACTCAACACTCGGTATCAGCTGGCAGCCGGATACTAGCTGAGGGTAGTGGCTTGGGACAGGACAGTGAACTAACATTACGGTTACCTTTGGATTCGTTCGGAATGGACCCGGTGCGAAATTGGTAAACGTTGAAATTATGAAAATCGCATTCAACTTATCTTCCTTGTAACAAAAAACTATATTTTCGTTGGTTTTCCTCTAACCATGTATATGCGATCATAAATTAAACGAATCACAAAGTTTACGAGCTATTCCTGACTGTAGAAAACCCTTAAATGATATCAATCAAAAGATGGTCATTCAAATATTTGTGTAACAGAAACAGTTGAGGGTTGGGTCAGGTATCAGTGAAGAGCCCTTCTCCTCCCACCTGACTTTACGCTTCGCTGCTTCACAAAAACAGCACCCTGCAACGAAACACCTGCATCATGCCCTTCCCCTCTATAATCGAGACGTCGCACTTACGCCGTCTTTTGTCCACATTGTTATCTTGACTCTGGATCGGTTCAGGATAAAATACAATAATTCATCAAAACATTGACAGTTTCCATAGCTGGAAACATTTCATCACTAAATGAATTGCCATTTCCTCGAATAATAAACCACATTCTTCTATGACATAATCCTGATTTATTCAGATAAATACACTGAAATTTGAACTGTTTAGAGAGTGAGTATTCACAACGAACAGAGAACAAACGAAGGGAGAACGATACAAACCAGGACTAAGGGTACGTAAAACATAAGATATAGGCCTTAATGAAAAACAAAGACATAAAATATTAATGTATTTTTATGTTTAGAGAAAAAAATTGTAGTGTCTGTTGCTATGTAGAGTAAAATAACTCGCCACTTGGAATGGAGCGAAATAATCTGTGTAAATTTAGCTTTTTGGCTGATTATGATCAGCTGCTCCGTAGTCAAGACCACGATTGCTCAAAGATCGAGAACAGGTATGTTCAGTTTTTAACTATCATGGAGCTACTGACTTTTCTCAAGATCGAACCGATGACCTTCTGACTATAAACAATTACAATTTTATCCACTGAGCTACTGGCTATACAATTGGAGTACGAAATGTCAAAAAATAATTATCACAGTTGAATACATGAATTGGAATTTCGATGTTACATGCCTAAAAGAACCTAACCTGTATCGTGTCGGGGAGTTGAATATTCGAAAGTAAGCATAGGTAGTAAATCCATACACGCATGCTAATTCATATAATACCATAATCTATTATTTCTAGAGCGTATCTGTTCTCAGTGTTTCTGCAGAGTTTAACAAGCCTGCAGACGACGGTTCCAGGAGGTCAT